GTTCTCGCGCCTATCTCGGGCGCCATATGCTGTAGACTAGTCGAGGTGTAAGGTGCTTACATATGGCATTGGGGTTGATCGTTGGAGCCAATGGTGATATATAGTGATGCTCGTTCCTCGGGATCTGGATAGGGATTGTAGATTGAGGTATTATATGCAGGTCATTGTTGTCAAGGATCAGTAGTGGAGTCGCTGCCGATCAACATCCAAGTCCAGTACAGAAATCCGTCACCGTTTTCGGTGGTCACTTCGCGATATCTCTGTATCCATGTGTTTCGTATGGTTCTATATGGGTCTCATCTCTTAGCTCGTCTACTCGGGCCTGTCCTTTTGTCTAGATGACATTGTGCGCCTTGACAATGTCAATAAGGGCGGTATGAGTTGTCGCCAAAGCTTAGAGCTGTGGGGTGTCATGTCGATGGTTGCGAAGATGTCGAATCAGCATATGTTCCGATTCAAACTGCCTGGTAGTCTAAACTTGGGCTGGCACCTTCCTTCGTCGTTCAATCTGCATATGACGCCACAATATGCGATCCTATCCAGATCCTGAAGAACAATCATCGTAGTACATCACCATTGGCTTCAACGATTAATCTCCATGCCATATAAGGAAACACCTTGCACCTCGATTGGTGTGTGCTATAGTGAAAGCTTGGTGGGATATACATGGTTGGATGTCTAAATGTTATTGAGCTACATTGACAGGAGCTTTATACGCCCGAGGAGATGTATCGACCGCCTCCAAATATATAATCACAACCGCAAACATATCCACACCCATTAAACAGCCACGAATGCAAACTTGGTATCACCCAGGACGTTGATCTCAGACTAGATTTCTCGCTAGCGAAACGAAACAATGTCTGGCCCAGTTATAAGGTGCACATAAAACAGAGCCTAAAAGAGAGCATAAAACAAGGTGGTGAACCTCGCATATAAAAAGAGAAAACAAAAAAGTGAAGCCGAACGCGGGGGTCGAACCCGCAACCTTGAGATACCGTGACGACTAAGAGTCTCACGCTCTACCGATTGAGCTAGCCCGGCTACTTGTTGAATGGCCTTTTGGTTTTTGCTTACATATTCCTGTGGTTAAAAGATAGACTCCTCATATGCCGCCCCTTCTATGTGCAATCTATAAGGAGGATGCTTCAAGGTAAGATCTGCAAATGTGATATTTACTTTTCACCTTTGGTCTTTTATTTGCCTTATATTATTATGGAGATATAGTCAATGTCGCAATAGTCGATTACAGGGCTTTGGACCTTGGTATGCCATCCCACTGCCATAGCTTCCGACTTTTGTTTGCTTCTTCATGAATTGGGTTTGTCCAAACTTAACAGTACCTACTTATCGCCCGAAGAATGGAACCCACAACTAAGTACTCGGTCATGTAGCCAGCTTACTTAAGACTTCGCTAGGTATCAGGGTCAATCATCTAGAATCACACTGTGCACATCTTTCTGTATCAACCGATACTTACTACTCCTTGGGATCATTAACAGTCTTCTACTCGTAAGTGTGCAGTGTTGCGGCCAATACACCTTATAGGCTGACGGGTACACCAGTTCTCTAACTATACTACAGCCATAGGTCCATCCACGAGCATAGTCACCATGAAGTCTGAGGAATGACTTGGAGGATCAAAATCTATGAAAGTGCGTAATGTCTCCTGAAAATCCCGGTCTCCAGGCTTGTGTTGCATTAAAAATGGAAGTTTTCCAATAAGTAGCCGGGCTAGCTCAATCGGTAGAGCGTGAGACTCTTAGTCGTCACGGTATCTCAAGGTTGCGGGTTCGACCCCCGCGTTCGGCTTCACTTTTTTTTCTTCCCCAAGATATTTATTCTTCTACTAAAGACGATCTGTGTCAGCCATTATGGATGGCATGGCCGTGGTCTGTCAACGAGTAGCTAGAGGACTGGATAGATACACTCTCTGCCGCAACGGATTAGAAGAGCCATATAAGTAACATCAATCAGACAAAATCATGCAAAATGAAATGACCAACTTGCAATCTCCCTAACCTAAGCATTCTTGTATACATCTGCTCCATCTTTACTTAGCCAGTAGCTATTCGCGTTCAAGTATGGTCGAGCTAGACCCGCCGTATAACGTTCCTTTGGTTGCCTTCTCTCCAACCAGTAGCTTCACCGTCTCCGTTAATTCACGTATCTGTTCTTTTAGCTGAATGATCTCCAGAGTGCAACTGTCCATAGTCACGTTGGGAGTCGTGTCCTGGACAGTCTGCTTCCAGCTTTCCTCGATTGCAAAATCCACTTCCTCAGCGGCATGCTCCCATTCCTGCACGTCATCATCATCTTCCTCTCCACGGCGACGATTCCATCTTATCCGACGGGCTTCGCGGGCTTCAAGGGACGCTGTTATGAGAAGAATTGGGGAGTAGATGATACCCATGATAACATCATTTAGCTTTGCGTAGCGTTTGCGTGGGAGCCACCATTCGAAGGGTGCGATCAGGAAGATAATCTCGATGAGGTTGAATGCTACCATGCTGTCAATATGGCAAGGCTGTCAGCTAGTAAAAGAGATGACTTACGAGGGATGAAGACATTCTCGTCTGGCGCCCGGACGTAGGACATCGTTTTCTGCGCGAAGACAGCCATATACTCGTCAATCGCGTTTCCTGAGATATCTTCGTATGCGCTGTTGTATAGAGCGATAAGGATATTGAGCAGAACTGCCAAGGTGTCAGCAAAGCCATAGATTTCAAAGCAGGGAAATGGACCGAACCTGTCATGATGATAAAGTTGAATAAATAGTAAAGGATAATGCCGAACGGGTACGCGAAATCCTCGAAGGTGCCAAACTCGGGGCTTTGCATTATACTGTTTGCCATGCCCTGCACAATATTTTTGACAACAGGGATATCGGACTCCACCTGAGCCATCCCATAGAAGGCTTGGAAGAAGCCCACTAGGACAACGAAGAGGAGAGCAAAGAATATTATACTCTCCTTCATCATGACCCTCAGAACGACAAACATGGCTCCGAAGAACCGAAATGAATCCATATATAGCATCATACGCATCCAGAACATTGGCCCCGCAAATGCCAAAAAGTTGTAGCTTAGTTCATTGAGTATTTGTCTCTTCTGATCATCAGCCGAAGGTGAGTGTGTCAGAGCAGCGACACGAACGAAGAAGGAGACGGCAAGAATGGCGTAAAGGGTGGAATTGAAGGCATTCCAGAAATCAAAGTAATGCCGTCCAATCTTCCATACTTTGGTCAACTCGTCACAGGTGAATGCAAGGGTCATCATATAGAGGATGCCTTCCGCGACATCGAGATCCCCGGTCCGATTGACAGTATTAATGACTTGAGTGTAAAGTGCAAGGTACACTAGAGAGACAGCGATTTGGCATGCGTTCTGATACAGAGGTGTCCTCATCCTATCGGGGTGGAAATGTACTGCAAAACTCGTGTTATCTTTTTCATGGTAGGGAACGAAGTTGGTTGGGTTGCCGTCCTGTTGACAAAACCAGCCGTTCCAGAGATATTTGATGCATTTCTGATATCCAGAAGATCCGATGATCCTCAACGCGTGAAGGTCTACAGCACGCTCAATGACGTTAGCCGGTACAGTCTCCTCTCCGTCGACGAAGACAGAATACCGCTTGAGCAGGGTATGGAGCAGTAGAAAATCTTGATTCTCTTCAGTTTCAATTCTATACAAAGCGTTAGTATTTACGGTAAGTAGCTGCTGCGTGGATATTGTAGGGTCATTACATGCGCTTGGCTATAACCTCACATGCAAGGGCCCGACTCTCGTGAAGGTCGGAATCCCAAAGCTCCTCTATAGCTTGAATTTTGAACCAACGTAAGCATACAAGCAAGCAAAATACAACACAACCTTGAAGGTCTTCGCCGCCCGCCTCTTTGGCAGTTCGAACAACGTTGTCTGTAATGACGCGACTGGTGGGACTGGTGATGATGTTTTCTTCAACCTCGCAGGGAATAACCTGCTCAATCTGGTACTTTAGTCTAAGGGCCACTTTAGTTATTTCCTTGGAAGGCCCAGTGGAAGAAACCGGATCCGAATCGTAGGCGGGAAGCACTGTTTATCATGTTAATATCGACTCGCAGCAGACGGCACAGCTATGTGGAAATCGGGGGACGTACACCGGCGACGCTCCACTTGTAGATGACGTCGAGCACGTCCAGTGTCAGTCTTTAAGATATTGCGCCAAAGCCCCATACTGAGCAATGAATACCTGAGTCTCTATAATAAAGAAAATTGGCGCGCGGAAGGAAAAGGAGGAACGAAGGTCCGTTGGTAAAGTCTGGGGATAATTAGTTAGGTAGCTTATCTCGCATGCCCCACTCTCGGCTACCGCCACGATTGGTGCTTTGAGAGGTCTGCATACGAATCACTGCAATATGGAAACGGGACCTCCTCGAGCTAATCTTGATATTGTGTACGCATGACTTGAATAGAGAGGAAGGATATGAGCTCCAAGCAAAAATCGGACCAAGCCAATGCCAATAATGTTAGGTTGTGACCAAAAAAGAAGAAAGTTTTGATAGTAGGTGTCTAACAAGGTACCACCGATCTTGACCCGCAGGTCAAGGAAAGTTATGTACATGAGAATGCGGAATCGAGTTCCTCAGCGAACCAGAGCTCAGTCACCAGCAGGGACAGATGATTGACCAACAACCCCTAGACGAGAAACGACGAGACAACCACAGCCTCGAACGGGGTAAAGCACCCCCGAAGTTGACTGCTGGACTCGCATCCCATAGCCCCTGAGCACCGCTGCTGATCTCGATTCTGCCCATGAGCATATTGAACCGTCTCCCGTCTCATAATTCGTGTCACATTTGAAACTCTTCTATTAAACTTTTCCCCATCCTTGCAACCAGTACTCATAACCAGCCTTCGTATTCAGTGTCGTTCAACTACACCTCGCAATTTTCTGACATTCTCCTCTTTCGAACCAAGCTCAGGGGCCTAAAATGGCGCTGTAGGCGTACTGTGTGCTGCTTACTCGGGAACACCTTCATCACTCTCAGACTGGCTCTCGTCACCGCTGACCTCCATGTTCTCACGCTCACGCTTCTCCATGAGCTCCTGGAGTGCGGCATCATCGTGCTCGGTGACGGCCTTGGGTGCCATCTTGACGCTGCAGCCACCTCCAGCCTCCTTGATCCTGGACTCGATTCTCTGGATAGCTTCCTCAAGCTGCTTGATACCAATAGCCTTGTCCAAGCACTGGCTAGTCAAGACGTACAGAGGAGGGGCGACCAGCTTGACCTTGACCTGGCTATCGGGAGTGTTGGCCTCCTCGGCAGTACGAAGAGCGGCCTTAACCGCATCGATTCCTTCATAGCCGAAGCAAGTAACCTCAATATCGGCGCGAACCTTGGTGGGCTGGGGCGTAAGCCTCTTGCTGATATAATGCGTCAACTCCTTCTTCACGGCCTCGCTGGGGAACTCAACATCGTTCCACACGTCGGGGTTCCTGAAAAACGTCAGTTACATCGGAAAGCCTGGCTGAGAGCCACCAGTATCTTACGTGATAGAGATCTTAAAGGCGTCGTGAGAGTGGCCGTATTTCCGGTTCAGAGGCCATCCGATGTTTTGATATAGCGTCTCGAGGGGAGTCTGAGTGGCCTCTGCAACGTGACGCATGATGGAGTGCACCGCTTTGCTCTTGTTATATCTCTCCTCACATTTGATAACATCCTCTGGGGAGACTCGTCGCTTGGAAAGATCAATATATCCTACAAGTAGCAAGATGCTCTGTTAGTTGAAGTCCACCACTGATGACCGAATTCTCTGGAGCGAAATTCACTTGCCCTTCTCCTTGTCAACACGGAGCACGATGACGACTTCGTTGCGACCGATACGGATAAGCTTCTGGATACTACGAATACGTCTCCGTGAAAGTTCGGAAAGCAGGATCATTCCGTCAATGTTATCGTATTCGAGAAGCTTCACATATGCGCCCATTTCGGCGATCTGTGGCATTGGAAAATAACCGTTAGAAGAAAAATTCAATAACCACACTCTCAGACACGGTGATAGAAGCGCATACCTGCTTGACATTGACCATGACATAGCTGTCGACCTCCGGGTACTTCTCCTCGTAAAAACGGCTGTTCGTTAACGACATTTTGGCGGGGTTGCGCCTTTGTGAGGCAAAGCTAAATGGCGAACTTTTCGAAGGAAAAAGAGATTCAAGTCGAAAGCCCCGTAAGAAACTGTTCTCTATACAAACTTCCGGAAGAAGTCGAGGCGGTTGGATCAACTGGAAAAAGAGTTTAACGGCAGACCACCGATGAGATTCAGAGCACACTTCAAATCACTTTGTGGCGGCTCAAAACCCACTTTGGGCTGGGTGGTGAGTCATCACGTGCCCTGGTGGTATACCCACCGCCCGGCAGAAACAGATAATGATTTGGTATCGTCACCTTATCAGGCATATTTCTTCCTTGGTTTTGCAATACGCTGTTCAAGGTTGGACGGAGTGAGTGAAGGGAAAAACAAGCGAATTCAGTTGGTTAATATCGTGCCCTTTGGGTGGCCTTTCTTGCCAAGCGGAACGATGCGCTTCTTTACTCTTGGATAATGATATTTACTTCAAGGTTCTTCCGTCTTCATGCTTCCCTGGCATCGCCCGCAAACTACCAATCGTAGCCACCGCCTGTTGCACTACGGGATTTGCTACTTTTTCACTCGCCTATTTTTTCGCTGCCTTAAATTCAGCCTGGCTTTCCCTGTTTTCTTTTCCCTTCAATTCCTTCGTCTTTTCCTCTTTCATTGAAGCGCAGCACTCATGGCGAGTGCTGAGTTACTCTGCACATCATAGCGATACTGACCCACCGCGAGCTCCGGGTAAATATGGATTCCAGTTCTGTCCAGGAGTCGACTCAACAGCGCTCTTTGCGGGATCGCATTTTCAACCTCTTTCGTACCTCTTCCTCAAATGACGCCCCAGGTCTTCCAGCAAGGCTCGTAGCCACCGAGAGCGCAGCGCAAAACGAAGGGTCGGCGATAATCTATCCGCCACGAGAGCCTGATGCAAGGACTCGTCTTCTGGAATCGTATGATCGCGGGGAGCGTGGTCGGAGGAACTACGGCGATCATGGGACTTTTTCTTCACAACCCGAACAGGAAGATATCCAGAAATGGGATGCAAGCTCTTTGCAGAATGCTGGTAACGAAGAAAGACCGCAGCTTCCAGGAGAAGCCGACGGCCATATTGGGCCTCCCAGCGACGCCTCAGGATACCCACAAGGACCAGAGAATATACCACCGCTAGACTCCTCTTTTACATCATTGCACATGACGAATCATAAATCTCTGTAGGTTTAGAAACACGTTCACCCTGCTTTCTAACATAACTGTTATCTCCATTGGGGAGACAACTAACGTCCGTCAAGGTATATATCTTACTACATCCCGTTTTTCAACTGGATTACCCAATATCGGTGGTCATACATCCGAGGAGATTTAATTGCTGCGACAACCATTGCGTCCATCTACATCCCTATGGCGTTGTCCTTATCCTCAAATCTCGCCCACGCACCTCCTATCAATGGTCTCTACTCTTTCGTGATCAACCCTTTCATTTATGCAATCTTCGGGAGCAGTCCGCTGTTAATAGTGGGTCCGGAAGCAGCAGGCTCTTTGCTTACTGGGACGATTGTCAAGTCTAGTGTCGGACCAGGCCCGTCTGGTGAGGATGACGAAGCGGCGAATGCTATGGTGGTCGGCATAGCCACTGCTATGGCGGGTGCCATGATACTGATCGCTGGGCTTACACGATTGGGATTCCTGGACAATGTGCTGAGTCGGCCCTTCCTTAGGGGTTTCATTACAGCAATCGGTTTCGTGATTTTTGTGGATCAACTCATTCCCGAAGTCGGATTGACCGATCTAGCGAAGGAAGTTGGTGTCAGCCATGGGACTACGGTTGACAAGCTCGTGTTCCTTATAAGAAACATAGGAGATTGCCATGCGCTTACAACCGCAGTGGCTTTTGGGAGCTTCGCTATTATAATGGTATTTAGGTTAGTGCTGGTGACTTGGAAGCCTGGCGCCTAGACTAATTTCGATTGCAGGACTCTCAAAAAAATGCTCCAGCCTCGATATCCCCAAGTGATCTATCTTCCGGACCGAATTCTTGTAGTTATTCTTTCAGCTGTCCTGACATGGCATCTTGGCTGGGATGAAAAAGGGTTGGAGATTCTTGGGCCCTTGAAACAAAATGCCGATGGCCTTTTTACGTTCAGATGGCCTTTCCAGTTTAGCCAAATGAAGCATGTACGCGCTGCAATGAGTACTTCTTTCGTCATTGCCCTACTTGGCTTTTTTGAGTCTTCTGTTGCCGCCAAGGGACTTAGTGGCGAGGCCAGGCAAGAAGGTGTCCAGGGAATGCCTGTCAGCGCTAACAGAGAGATGGTGGCACTGGGTCTTGCTAATACTGTTGGGGGCTGTTTCATGGCGCTTCCTGCATTTGGTGGGTATGCAAGAAGCAAAGTCAACGCTTCAACTGGAGCTCGATCCCCGATGAGCAGCATTTTCCTGAGTGTTATTACCTTGGTTTGCATCATCGTGCTCTTGCCGTATTTATACTATCTTCCGGTGAGTCTCAACCCCAAATACTCCCGAGTGAAGGCTGACAGAATCTGTTGCAATATTTTAGAAAGCCGTTCTTTCTTCTATGATATCTGTCGTCGCTTTCAGTCTCATTGAAGAATGTCCTCACGACTTGGCTTTCTTTATCCGTCTGCGCGGATGGACGGAGCTAGTCCTAATGCTTCTCATCTTTGTCTCCACTATTTTCTATTCTCTAGAACTGGGAATTGCCCTTGGTATTGGTCTTTCTATTTTGATCCTCATTCGCCATTCTACGCAGCCTCGGATTCAAATTCTGGGTAAGATAGCAGGCACCACCGACCGTTTCGAGAACGCCGAACTCCACCCTGAGAGCGTTGAGTTGATCGAAGGCGCGCTCATTGTTAAGATCCCGGAACCTCTGACCTTTGCTAATACTGGCGAGCTCAAGAATCGTCTTCGGCGGTTGGAATTGTATGGCAGTAGTAGAGCGCATCCGTCTCTCCCCCCACACGCACTCCCGAACATAACAAGAATATTATATTTGATGTTCATGGTGTTACTAGCATCGATGGTTCCGGTACGCAAGTCTTATATGAGATTGTGGACGGGTATGCAGACCAGGGTGTCAGCGTCTTCTTCTGCCGTGTCGCAACTCGCAATGTTTTCCGCATGTTTGAACGAAGTGGAATCGTGGAGCGATGCGGTGGGCTAACTCACTTCGTTCATGGTGTCGACGAAGCCCTCCGCCTCGCCGAATCGGAAGATCAGATTGACATCTGAACTGTAACATGCTACAGAACACCGCGTTGGTTACATAGCTGCGTTCTGTTTATATAACACCACACGATATAGATGATGCTTGATGGTATTGCACACATATCAGCCGGCCTGTTCTGAATTTGCTCATCTTAAGCACCGCTCTTGTATCATGGGTCATGCATGAAATCTTGTTAATCAATGCCATAAATCAAATGACTGATAGAATTTTTATCTCTGCAACAATGCCTGCCCCCACAAAGAATTAACGTGAAAAGTAAGCCGTCCATGTTGTGCACCTCGCAACCCCATAGATCAGCACAAGAATAAGGGGCATATGCTCTCCCTAGAAGCCATGCTGGTCAACTTTCTTGATTCTCCCCGACAAGGCTCCTGCGAGTGACAGAGAGAAGTAGCACCTCACTCGCTCGTAACGCAAGGCGCTTCTTCTCGCTTGGAGCGTCATCATCATTCTCAGCCGAATCATCACCAGCAGGCCCAGCTCGGATAGGCTGCGCAACGAGTTTCATCTTTCCTTCGGCACCTAGAACGAACCCGTTACATGCGATCTTACTGATACGCACATGTTTTCTTGCCGGACTATCCTTAGCTGATGAGCCAGCCAGATCCAGATCCATCGCCAGATGCTTCTCAATGTAAGAAGAGAGACCCGAGAGAATAGAGCCACTCGGTTGATTTGAGTCCCCAGTAGCAGGCAAAAAGTTTTTGATAGAGCCCCGCGGGATATTGATGTTGAGAGACCTCAAATCAGGAGCCACATTAGTAGAGAATGACACAGTAATCTGTATCTCCTTCACGACATCCTCCAGGATAGCCCGTGAAGTCGCCGATTCTCTATCGCGGCCTTGGGTCAAAGCGTCCACGTAAGACGCAAGCCCGGCACACAAGAACTGCGAAGGGAGGCGAAAAACAGAACAGTAAGTGTCAAAGTTCGCCGAGAGAAAAGAGATGAACGTTTGTCGTAGCGGGCCCGGTAACCGCGTCAACAGTAACGGGAGATATGTGGAAGTTTTACGCGAATAGGATCCCTCTGGTGGTGCAAGTAATGCTGCTTTATAGGTGATGTTTTCGTATTCAAGTACCACGAGGATTCCGCATGGGCTCTGGGGATTGGGAGCATTGGAAGTTTCTAACGCGAGGCTTGGTATAGCTTCCCAAGTGCAGTTTTTGAGAGCGCCAGTTCTGGAGAGCGCGTCTTCCTCTGGGGAGGGTGCACTCGTGCCAACCTGAAATCCGGCTAGCACGTTCCCGGTGAGTTGGTCGCGCAAGCGGTTTGCGTAGACTTTTAGAGCTTCTGGGTTGTCCAGGAGAGATTGGAATTCTTTTTCATGGTGTAGAGGTGATAGACGGTGTAATGTCCATGATGTATTTAGTATTTGATCTGGTGTTGAGGGGGCCATTTTGGAGTCTTAATGCTGGGGTTATACAATGTGGCTTGGATGGTGGTTCAAGTTCACATCCATGGATGTCGAGTATGAGATCCTTTAGGAACGTTCCCTACAGTCCCTCTGCCGTAGCCGTAGCTCCTTAGTTAACCAACTAACCAGCCCCCCACCGCCTTCAGTGCACACGGAGTCCTTCAACGATGATTCCCACCTCGACAATAAATTTATAGGTATTTTAAGTTCTAATATATCGTCATTAAACTTCATTCTTATTCCAATATTGAGATGTATACAAATTTAATTACACAATTACTTGACTCAATTTAGGCGTGACCTTCGTATTTAGATTACGGAATACCAAGACTCCTGTAATCTGGAGGTACCCTCTTTATTTCTTCGCTATATTTCGAAGCTTGGTTTTATCTATTAGATTATAAGTATCAATATTGAACAACGACCCTGCGGCGGGACAATCTATGTCTACGTAGAATATAAGAGACTATTTATTTGCTAATATCTCTGCGACTGAATCATCCACGCCATCATTCATGGCGTTGTCGAAGTGTTCATTCTTCTTGTCCTATCTTTTTCTCCCTTGTTTTTGTTGACCTGATATTATTATTAGCCTACCATCAGAAGTGTGAAAGTTACTGTTCAATAAAATCATTATTGGCGCTACCTTAACTAGAATTTTAAGTATAGAGGAAAAATAGAAAGATTAGTACTTTGAATTAGATAATAATACAGATGTTAAAGAGCCCCTAACTTGGACAGAAGTATATCTTTTCACGTACGCCGTACGTCCAAGTTGTGCTTCATCCAGGCCCAGCGAGCCTCGGTACCTGCTGCGTGGTTGTTCAGAACGCCAAAAGGCATGTATACATCCTTGTTCTTAATCCGAATCAGGAAAAGCTTCCGATGACGATATGCCATCTAAGTGACGGCCGAAATAGCCTCCAAAGAAATTGCATGATCGCCCGTAGGATACACCCCCATGCTAAACTCCAGACCCAATAATCTAGGCATCCGATACATAGCCTCAGCCATAGACTTCATCAGTGCATCAAACATCTTAATTGTGGCTCAGGGAGGGGGAAAACAAAGACTAGACTTGCGTCTGTCGAAATATCATATATGTATATAACATATACATAATATGTTTAAGATATCGATGAAGAAGTGGTGCTTTATGTTGGGGATTTTCTTTTGTCGGTGGGAACAGTACTTGCGTAGTTGCGGTCGATAGCGTCTTTGTCGACTGCGCAGAAGTAAATATGTTCACGTACGCTGTACGTGTATACAGTAGGCTTTCCGTTAGATATGCAAGGCGGAGGGTGAAACGTAGATAGCGTCGATACGCCGCTGTGCACCTGCTTGAAGCTCTTGGCTTCAGAGGCATCGGTGCATGGAAGCAGTCCACACGCTTGTGGCTGCAGCGTATATAAAAGCAGCCAAGCTGTCAAGTGCGCTTGTAAGCGCCTTCCTAACTGTGCGATAAATATTATATCTCTCTCTTTCAAATTCCACTGCGCCAGTTGCGACAGATAATCCTATCTGCTTGTCTGTCGCAGAGCCATGATAGTAATCTAGTTCTTCCGTTGGAATTCGTCATTGCTAAACCAGTCTTTTTGTGCCTCGAAGCCCAAGGAACGTAGCTCGTACCATATATCTGACCGGAGTTCGTTGTGGCCAGCTTTGGAATATAAACAATATAGTTTAACTCCAGTAAATTTGTGCTAGATAGAAGTAAGGCACCGGACCACTGGTAGGAAGTATGCAGTGAAATCTATAAACAAATTCTTTAACAGTCAAGTGGGTATTATGAGTTTATCCAGAATGGTGGCATTGATATAGCATGCCACATCCTGTGTGGGCTCCTAGCCACGATTGGTAAGAAACGAAGGAATAAGTCTTGATTAATATCCATGATGTGTCTTTGATAGAGTATTTGGGCAAGAGTTGTGTTACAAGGACCTCCCGCCATACTTAATATGGCTAGCTCTCACCGCTAGGCCCAAATAGGAACACGGAGCGAGAATCCATGGTTGAACTTGGAATCTCACCCAGCTTATACTGTGAAACTGCAAGAGATACAGACAGGGCACTGTATTCCACAAGGTCAAAAGGTCAGCATAATTCTGAATCGACGATTCAGAATACCATGGAATGATCTATATAGCAAGCCGCCGTTACACTCGGCCACACATTCGTCCCACAATAGCTATATCAGTGCTTGACCAGCATCATATATGTCTCAAGGAGGTTTTGGCAATAGGTGTGTTTTTATAGAAGTCAACTTTTTGTACCCAGTGTTAGGAATATAAACATCGAGCGGATATCTAAAATTTTCAGAAGTATGGTTTCACTACCAGTACGGTTAGATGAGGATATAAAAGGATCGGTACCAGTTCAACGAACCGTGCTTTGAGCTCCATTGGTAGTCCAACTCTGGCAATGGAGAGAGGGCATCGCCGTCTTATCACTAAATTTTCCAATATAATTAAGTTGGGATAAGAAAGCTGCTTTCCTGAAGTACTTATTATGACTTTAGCTTTGCGAATACATAAGTCAACTGCCAGCAATAGCAAGACTTGACTCAAGGTAAACATACCGTTGTTAAAATAACTTCATGCAATTTACTAGAGACGACAAGTCCATGGTTTGAATTCTATTCATCACTACTAGCGAAATGCAACCATGCAACTTCACGAAAGCCTTCTTTCACCTAGCTTTTATTTTTTTCTCTTAAAGTCGTCTGTGTAGCCCTGAGAGACTTTGTACGAGATTGTATATCAAAATGCCCCCATTCTCCTATCGATCCCACTAGGTTGTCAATTTAACTGGAAGTTCATGTTCCTGACCCACCCAGGTTTGACTAATATCCATAACGATAGATATCCATGGTGATGGATATCTATAGCGATGGCGATCCATAATAACGAATGCCCATGAGGGTAAATCCATCAAGATATCTAATATACATCACCACGGATAGCTCAGAGCTATTCATCTTCCGAAAAAGATCCTTCTCAGTGGACTGTATATACTTATACCGTAGTGAGTTGCTCCCCGTCCGGAGCTTGTTGGCTACACTTGAGAAATACGAACTAAACATGTGGAGCGCTAGCTCAGAGCAAGGTTAACGATGTATTTCAGAATAGATTGGGGGAGAACCAGTAGCTTCCATTCTATCCAGGCTCATGCAACGGATACTTATAACTCCACTTGACCTTAACATCGTAATACAGTCATCAAGTACGTTTCGCAGCATGTCAACCCTCCAACCCTCTGCATAATGACAATCATAGCTCTCCCGAATAGATATTCCGTAGCATTTGAGACCCCAAGGATATAAATAGCGAGAAAGAGGGAGTTGAGGTAGTATTCGGTTATATTTGTTTGGTATCGACTCCTTTGAACTGTCAAGTACTATCAGACACGTTAGCAGCCTTTCAGATGAGATAGAGCAATGCACTAGAATACTTACTCTGATAGCCGTTCGTATTCCAGAGTGTTTTTGAGCATCCCACGAGTAGCAGCAGTGAGAACAAGGGAGTTAAGGTAATATTCGATTAAGATTGTCTGAAACCGGCTCCTTTGAACTGTTAAGTACTATAA